TGAGATATTTTGTACACTGTGTGAAGATGTATTGCTGTGATTGGTGTAACGAAAGCTGAACAGCCAATAGCTAGGCAGGAGGTATGGGTGGAATTTCTTGGGAGAGGAGGAAAGAGGAAGAGGGATATAGGCGTTCAAGGGAGACACCAGGTGACATGGAGAGGGGACAGAAGGTACAAGGTGGAAGAGCGGTAACACCACGCGATAGATGCACACGATAGATGTAGATGAATACAAATGGATTGATTTAAGTTACAAGAGCTAGTTGAGCCTAAGCTATAGGCTGAGCTTTCATAACCAATAAGAAGTCTTTGTGTCATTATTTGGGAGCTGCCTGGCAGGACAGAAAAAAGGACAAGCTATGTGTAATTTATTTTTTAAATTTATCTCTGTTCTTGGAAATGTCTTCAAGTTCATTTTAAAGCAAAAACACTGGATGACAATGACTTGAGAGACATAGTCACCTAAGATATCACTCCTAAACTGCTTGTTAGAATCAAGTGGAAAGAATCACATCTTTCTTATCACAAGAAGTAGTTTTAAAAAATCACCCCTAAAATCACTTTCTTGTCACATAAGGAAATACAAAACAGCATTGCCTCTTGTAAAAGAGACACAATGTATCAGATTGATATTTTTTTGTGAAAATAAACAAGTAAACCACATACGTAATTAAACCTTGATGAAATACAATTAAGCAATCATTGAAGAGGAAGCTTTTCTCTGAAACAACATTGCCATAAGAACTACATAACTGGGGGTGTAGAGATGGCTCAGTGGTTAAGAGCACTGGCTGTTCTTCCAGAGGACCTAGGTTCAATTCCCAGCACCCGCATGGTGGCTCAGAAATGTCTGTAACTCCAGTCCCAGGGGATCTTCTGGACTCTGAGAGCCCCAGGCAGGCATACATGTGATGAACAAATATATATATATATGTATATGTATATGTATATGTATATGTATATTTATATTTATATGTATATATGTATATATATGTAAATAAATTATAAATAAAATAATAAGTAAATAAACACATAAAATAATAAGTAAATAAATTGTTAAAGAACTGTTTAAGTTTACAGATTTCTGTAAGACTTCATTCATCTTGCTTGAATTACTCTATGGTTTTAAGAACAGATTAACACTTCTTTTGGGATTTTAAGTGAGCAGTTGACTTATATTATGGGAAACCCAAACTCCACAAGTCTCTTGATTCTCTGAAAGTGGGTGGATGTTTTCTTGTGTAGCTCAGTACTGACAGGTATGACTACCTATAAGACACTGTGAACATCAACTAGCAAAGCAATATTCTGAATGGTTTTGAGCCATGTGGCCTATTTGTGAAATCAACAATGCAGGACTATTTCATCCCACACTGTTGTCCCCACATGTCCTGCCCCTTGTTTCAACTTTGCTTCTTCCTCTCAGTTTTTAATTCCAGGCTATGAAATGTATGTTCATCTTGGAAGTTTGAGTAATAAAAATAGAAGGAAAAACACCCATAATTCTATTAATTTCTTCCTCTAGGATTTTGATTAAATAATAATAAATTGAACAAAGTGTTTCACAATGCTTTTTTTCAATGTTAGAGAAAACATGCTTTTTTTTAATATCATTCAGACTTCACATAAATTTGGTTAATATGCATGGAATGCCTTAATGGTTAGTTGCATTCAAGGTCTTTAGTAGGAGGGCAGTAGTCATGGCACTTAGCAAGTATGGTTTTAGTTCAGAAACTAAACACTAGCATTATTTGACTCCACTTTAGGTGTTCATTTTTTATAAACATGGGTGCAAATAATAACTACCAAGTATACAGGACACATTCAAAGATACAACCTTTGTATCATCCATGACCATAAGATATCATTGTTCCCTCTTTGTAAAGACCTGAAGTTCATCGCTCTTGGGTGATTCTGAGTTTAATGGACTTGAACCTTGTCTTCTCTGCTTCCAGATCATTCTTTCCACAACATGCTGCAAAGCCATCCTGGGTATCATTATCTGCTCAACCCAGTGGTGCAGTAGAGCTCTTAAAATCCTCATTCCTTCCTCTTTTCAAAATTCACATCTGTAATGTTGAAAATAGCATGCAGGTGTATTAAACTTTATTTCTATGCTTATTTTGTACAAGCAGAGTCTTGATTTTTGGATTATTTCATTAAGGATAGAAACACTTTTTTAAAATTACATATTTTATGTGCATGGGTATTTTGTCTGTATATATGTCTGTGTATCCTGTGTGAGCTGTGAACTGTGTGTAAGCCATGCACCATGTGTGGGCCATGCCCAGTGCTCTCAGATACCAGAAGAGGCCATTAGATCCCCTCTGACTGGTCGTAGGCAGTTGTGAGCAGCTATGTGTGTGCTGGAAATGGAACCCAAGTCTTCTGGAACAATAGCCAGGGCTCCTAACTCCTGTGTCATCTTGTTGTTTTAACTTTGGGACAGCGGCTATGCCTTAGCCTAATGCTATTTCAGTCCTCAATTGTGAATCTGCAGTTACCAGCCTGTTTCTCTAGCAATAGCTTGGCCATTTAAGCCTGGTGGGAATTCTGTTCCTGCAGGCACCAGGTCTGTCACTGCCATAAAGGTAGCTTTAACAAATCTATATTGTTCTATTTATAAATAAGACTTAAGATGCAAAGGCTGGGATGAAGACCTGCTAGCTCAGAGAGGCTGTCACAATGAGCTAGCCTTCTCTCTTTGTTGGCATCTCCAAAAGATGGTCCTTCCACTCTGCCAAACAAAAAAAGCTGCTCCACTCCAAACCCCTTCCTACTACTTCTGGGGCATCTCTTTATCTCTCCCAGATGCCTTCTGATCTCTCAGCTTCCTAAGCCAATGTTAATTTTATTTAATTAATGCAAATGAAAAGTTGGGGTTCACTGTGTGACTGAATACCACACACACACACACACACACACACACACACACACACCATCTTTCCAGCCCCAAGATAGAAACACTTTCAAGGCTATCTCATATGTTGTCAATTGCTCATCTATGTGCGGTTGTCCACATTACTATTCAAACAGCAGGGCACCTCCTTGAGTTCCGTTGTCCCCCCTATAAAACTCTTGGTTCACTTAAGAGATAAAAAAAAGTGACTCATGGTTGTTCATGCTTATTTTCAATAGCTAGACTTCACCTGGTTTTAATTCATGGATTACAGAATAAACTTTAGCACAAGCTGGTGAAGTCACTAAAGAAAGTGATCAAGCCTTTACTTCCCCTTATTCATTCAATAGTTATCCATCTCTGACTCTAAACCAACCCCTGTAAGATGAAAGACTTCCAAGAGTGGTAGGTAAGAGAGACAGACACATAAACACACAATTATTGGACAGATGGGCCATGGCTAGGACCAAAGCAGGTGGGAGATTGTCAAACACAGAGCCAAGCAGCTAAGCTAGCCATAGGGAGGTCCTGGAGTCCTTTCTGCAGATGCTCAATCTTGAACTAAAGCAAAACTTAGCCAGCTTCACCCAGCCAACCCTGGCTAGAATGTTTCTGTGGACTTTGACCAGAGACACTGGCGTTGTGTCTCCTTGGCCTCCAGGTGTCTCACTGGGCTGAGTCTTGATGAAAACAAACACTCCTTGAATTACTTTTCAGACCTAACTAGAAAGCTGTTTCCTTCCACGTCTTCCCCTTGACAATCTTTATGTGAGTTTCCCTTCTGATTGTGCAGACTGAAACTACGGGAGAAGCCACCCATTCCTTAAAGACTGTATACAGACAGAATGGAACTTTTGTGATTGTTAGCTGGAACACTGCAGGTCAAAAGCCAAACTTATCTTGGGCTGCCCTTAGTTCCCAGTCTGTCTGCCACTGACCTCTGTATCTTATCTCACTACCAGGTAAAACCTTTGGAATCTGTGAGTTTAGCTGATTGTGATTGTTCACCAACCAGAAAGCTAAGGATGTCCTTAGATAGCCTGAGCCCTGTGAGAGATGTCCCTGCTTTGCTGTGACCTGCCTACCTGCTGTCCCCCTTAATGTACTTAGAAGATGCATTGATTTATGATTTACGCACTCAACATAAACCTGTGGGTATTGTTTACCAACAGGCATTTTCACCAAGAGTGGTGCCAGCCACACCTGCCCCTAACTGCAAAATACACAGGCGCGTATCATGTTGTTGACATGATAAGCTTGTTGGTATGAGCATAAACAGGAAGAAAATTCATAGAAGTAGTGATGGAAATCAGGTTTTTTTTTTCTTAAACTTTTACTGTGCAATTAGTCTACTATAAAGTATTAAGTAGGCCAGCTGTTCCATTTGCCATTGAAAGCAACTGAAAGGGGTAGCTGTAAGGCTGACTGACCCGGCGAGGGGGTGGGGAGAATCCTGACACACATGGATTGTGCTTTTCTGTGTATGTCTATTACACTTAACGGTTCTTTTGCTTTGGTTTTTGAGGTCTTGTAATGTAGCCCAGGCTTACCTCAAACTGTAGATTCTCCTTAGTGCTAAAATGATACACTATAATAGAAAGCAGAACAGGTTGATGTTTGTTGTTGTTTGTTTAAGTTTTGAAATCATCCACGATCCAGAAACAATTACTCTTGGAGTTATTTCCTTCCCTTCTGAAGCAGGTGCACTTGGTCTACCCTGGCCCTATCTCAGAAAAGAATCTCTGGGTCAGGGGCATTCTTTAAGATCTGTATTCGTTTTTCATTTCCCTCTAGAAAAGGAGCACCAATTTGCAAACGATCGCCTGTTACTTGTGATTCTTTTAAGACCCGCGGCTTAAAAGGCAGGACTAAGGAACTGCCATTTGCAGCTCTATTGGGCTACGTTCCGCTGCAGGCCCAGTAGCCTCTGCTCGCCCCTGCAAATCTGGAAGATTCTGGACCGTGCAGGGCAACCCAGACACCAAGTCCCTAGCTGCCGGCACGGCCCGGTTGCCCGGGGAACTGCAGCACGCCGCTGCGCCTGCCGGCCGGCGGATTAGCGGGTGTGAGGGGCGAGGCCGGGCAGGCCGGGCAGGCCGGGCAGGCCGGGCATGGAGCTGCCGGACCCTGTTCGTCAGCGCCTGGGCAACTTCAGCCTCACGGTGTTCGGCGACTCCAGCCGCACCGGGCCGGAGACCAGCGAGGCGGCGGGTGAGTGGAGGGCGCAGGCCCGCGCGGGGGTGTGGCTCGCGGGCGGCCGCACGGGCCGTGCCCGGGTGAAAAATGGCGGCGGGGGCCTCGGCCGGGGCGCTTCCCCCGTGCGGGAGGCCAGCTGCGGCCCGCTGCCCACCCGGGCGCCCGCGAGCCTCAGCCGCGGTGGCGCTGTCGCCGAGAGAATCGGAACGTGGAGCGGGAACGCCTGCTTCCCGGCACGGCCCCGCTGCGTTCCTCCGTGACGCACCCGGCCGTCCAGGCCAGGCTGGGAGAGCTGCGGCGCATGCCCGCCCAGCCCGACCACAGCGTGGCTGCTTCAAACCCGGCCGGCCGGCCGAGCAGGCGCGTTCCTCACCAGCCGCACTCCCAGCCCGCAGTGGGAAAGGGGAGCGGCTGGCTTCTTCACCCAACCAGCCCTGTTAAACCACTGTCCGCTCGCCTGGCCTTCCCCGGCCTGCTCCCTCTGCCCCTCCATCCAGGTGCAGCCTCCTCAGTCCTGACTACAGCACACAGCGTTTTCACCAGTGAACTCAAGGAAGGAGAGGTCCTTTCTCCAGCTTGGTTTTGGCCACTTTTTAACCGGGAAAATGGGAAAGCAAAGCCACTTACGACCGTTGCCTGTTGCGGGTTGTCACCTTCGGTCATTTACCTAAACTAGGTCATGTGCAGAAAAACCTGAAAAATTAGATTTTGGTGTTTCTGATTCTAAGAGTGAGCTTTACCGTGCACTAAAATCTGATAATTCAAGGGCAGCTACTGGAAAAGATGGAGAAATGTTTGTTTTGCAGTTCTGTAGGCCGCAGAGCCTCGGCCCTGGGGAGTGTTAATTGTTTGGACGCCAACGTAAAGACCAGAAACGGGAAATTCATATGCTTTTCACGTATCGTATATTTTCCCCAACCAGTGAAATTCGAAAAAAAGCTGTGTAAATTCACTGTCTCTGCCAAGGTCAGTGAAATTTGTTTGCCCAATTATATATGCTTCAATTTTATCTCATTTCGGAACTCAACTTGAACTTTTGTAAAATTTAATAATTTATATCTTGCGCCTCATTTATTTCTATTTTGGCCTGAAGTTTCAGTTGCGTAAGTTTGATGTGTTGAAGTATGGACGGACACAAAATAAAATAAAATAAAATAAAATAAAATAAAATAAAATAAAAAGAGCCCTGGCATGCTAAGCCATCATTCTATGAAACTATATCCCCATAGCTTTAAAGCAAACAACAATGTTGTTGTTACAGTGCAATCAAGAAGTGCCTATGCTGTCCTGAAACTAACTTGCTGTGCAACCCAGACTGGCTCTGAATGTGAAATACTCCTGCCTTGGTCTCCTTGGAATGTTTGACAAGTTTTGCTCTACAGGTTCTGAAAGTGTCAGCTTAACTTGAGTTTGGTGTTAGTCTGTAAAAAGTTTTTATCACCTCACCTCAGATCCACAATATCTCAGCCCAGAACACCTCACCTCTACAACACCTCACATTCTCAATACCTCACCTCCACAACACCTCAATCCACAATGTTCAGAATTAACAGATTTCAAAAATTCATTTCTATATTAGGGATAATTTAAGAAATTAAGGTAAGTAAAAACAGACCACAATAGTCAAGCACACTCTTAAAACGTAAAGGAAACTTGTGGAATAGAGATCTGTTTAACTATGTAAAGATGTGTTGCGTTTGTTTAACTATGTAAAGATGTGTTGCGTTTGTTTTTACCTTGCCTGCATAAGGCATCTGATGGAGCTAATAAAAAGCAGAATGGCCAATAGCTAGGCATTAAAGGGCTATGTGGGACTGGTGGTGAGAAAGAATAAGTAGGAAGAGGAATCTAGGCTCAAGAGAGACAAAGGTGGAGAGAAAAGAGGGAGACACCGGGGCCAACCAGCCAGGCACCCTCCAGCCAGGCAGAAGGCAGACATGGAGGAAGCAGGAAGGTAGGACATACAGAATGAAAGAAAGGTAAAAAGCACCGAGATAAAACATAGATGAAGAGAAACAGGTTAAATAAGTTACAGGACCTAGTGGGACAAGCATTCATGACTAGTAACAAGTCTCTGTGTCATGATTTGGGGGCTAAAAACCTGCTACAGAACTTTTGCTTCTAGAGGCTTGTCTCAGAAGCATTAGATGTCATTTAAAAAACAAAACAAACAAAAACCATGCAGAAAAAAAAAGTTACAAAGTAACATATGCTAGTATCTTTCAAAATTCTTACATTCAGAAAAACCAATTTAAAATAAGAATGTCGTTAAATTTATAATGTATTTTCTAGGGCTCAGTTTTTAAATGGAACTTGTGTGTCACAAATGGCTGTATGTATGTCAGTGTGCATTTGAAATTTGTTCTTCCTGCTCGTGCGTGCTTGGCATTCATAGTGTATAAAGCAAGGTTCTGACTAGGAAATGTAAGTGTAAACTGCTCACACTGAGACTGTGTGTACACAGGTAAGAAAAGGAAATGGCACAGTTTGTGGAGTATGCAGTAAGTGTGGTGGGCACACTAGTAAGAGCGAACTAGCCTGAAAGGCAGCCTTCATTCCAGAGATGATTAAATGAATGCTCAGAAAGATGTAGTAATACATCCCAACTCCGGCACCTTGGCTTCTGTCTGCTGTGAAGACACACCATGAGCACACCTAATTTTATAAGGAAAACATTGCATTGGGGCTCGGGTCAAAGGTTTAGTCCACTATTGTCATATCAGAAAGCATGGTGGCACACAGGCAGACATGATGCTGGAGAGGTAGCTGATGATTCTACATCGGAATCTGCAGGCAGCAGGAAAGGGAGTGACACTGGGCCTGGCTTGAGCTTTTGGGATGCCACCCCCAATGATACACTTCTTCCAACAAGGCCACACCTCCTAAGAGCGCTACCCACCGTGCCTATGGAGTCGTTTTCTTCTACTCCCCACAGCTTCTAAAGCCATGGTCTCTTCAGAGCATCACACTGCATCTTAGATGAGAAGAATATGAATCTTTGCCAGCACTGCTTTTTTATTTTTTATTTTGTGTATAGGACTATGTCCCTGCCTGTATGTATGTGTACAGCATGCATGCCAGGTATCCAAAGAGGCCAGAAGAGGGCAGCAGATCTGGAACTGGAGTTAAAGATGTTTATGAGCCACTGTGTAGGTGCTGGGAACTGAACCCAGTCTTCTAGAAGAGTGCCAAATGCACTTGACCAATGAGCTATCTCTCCAGCCCTAACCAGCACTTTTTATATACAGTTTAGAGTGATAAGTACCTAGAGGGGAATGATTTCTACTGGACTGCGGGAATGTAATCAAGGAAGGATTTAGGGGAAATGGCACTAGATTAGCATTAAGGAATATATGGGACTAGGATTTGCTGGAAGAGGGATGTTTTTATAATTTGAGATTAATTATTATATAAGAGCTAACCTATAAGAGAGCCATTTTATAAGGCTCTTTATAGAAACACTACAAAGGAGGCGATAGAATTTCATATGACATTGCTCTTTGGGATTTTATTTTTTTCTGAGACAGGTCAGATGTAGCCCTGGCTGGCCTCAGACTTGCTATTTCCCTGTCTCTGAGTGTTAGGGTAACAAGAATGTGCCACCATTCCAGCTGATAGTTCTTTGTTTTCTTCCTTTCCTTTTTTTACTATGTAGCCCAGGCTGGCCTCAAACTCACAGTGATCCCCTGTCTCCCAAGGGCTCTGATTAAAGGCATGTGTTACCATGTCCAGTTTGATAGTCCAAATTTAACCCAAACCCCCAGTCTACAAACTGTGAGCAGACTGTGGAGGCCAGTACCTGAAGGGCATGAAACACTCCCAAGCAACTTGTGCCTGAAGTCAAAGGTTTGCAGATGAATATACCGTTAGTGATTATAAACACTATTGAATCAATACTAACGCTCAGGAATATGAAGGTTTCTAGGCCATTGGCTAGGATTAAAAATGTGTTCCTTTTCTACCTTTTCCACAGATAACGAGATGGTCTCCAGCTTGCCGCTGCAGATGTCACTGTATTTCAACTCGTACTTTTTCCCTCTGTGGTGGGTGAGCTGCATTGTGATGCTCCACATGAAGGTGAGTCCGCTTCACCCCACTACTCGCTTCCTTACATCCCCACGAAGGCTCACAGAACCCTCCTACCCCGCAGACACTTCACTTGACAAAAGGCTTTGTAAGCATGTTCTCCCCCCCCCCCTTTTTTTTTCTCCAGTATTCGGTCTTGCCTGATTACTACAAATTCATTGTGATCACTGTCATCGTCCTCATAACCTTGATCGAAGCTATCCGGCTGTACCTGGGCTCTATGGGAAACCTGCAGGAGAAGGTGGGCTCTCCCGCCCTTCAGGGCTGTACTTAAGACAGTTAAGGTTCCGTGTGACTAATGCAGTGGCCAGCCGGGCTGGAGGTGGCACCAGCCTGGGGTTAAGGAACCGACTTGAAGTCTGTCATTGCTTAATCTTTTGAGCTCTGGTTTCTTCTACTAGACAAGGAAAATGATATTTGACAAGTTTACTGGGATGAAGCGCAGTGGCTCCTATGAGGTAACTAAGCACAGTAAACTCAGCAGTCAGTGACATTTCTCACTTCTTAGTTTGGAAATATTTGGTCAGTACTGAAGGAGGAGAGTCAGTAAGAAAGGGAGAGAGACAAGGGGGTAACAGCAGAGGGTATGATCAAAGTTCATTCTGTACATGTATGCAGCTTTAAAAAATGGCCAATTAAGTTGTTTAGAACCTTAAGAAAAATTATAAATTCCTGTCCAATGCCAGCCAGGCCCATGTTTTCTGAATCACCACCCTGCCAAGGATTTCATTTCTAAAGTCTTTAAATTATTCTGTGGTTTGCTAAGCCCTTCATAATAGCCCCCACCCAGAAATTCTTCTTGGCTTTTCTTGCCATTTTTTAAGCCAACCATCCAGACCAGGCCAATGTGTTGATTCCTAGTCGTGCTGGAGCTTCAGGGGTGGGGTACTCCCCAGTGCACACCCTGTGAGTCTCCCTTTCCAACACATGGTCTCTGTAGCAGTTACTCTGTACCTTTAAATGTTGAACTCCCTTACACATTACATTGGCTTTCTCATCTAGATAGTTCTCTAAGGATGAGACTAAGGCATACTCCTGAATCACTCATGGAACCCATACTGTAGGCTCTTTCCAGTGCTGAGCATCTGCATGCAAAACTAAAACAAAGCTGTATTTTACTAATCTTCTAACTCTTGATGTGTGTCACTGCAGGTTCCTGAGTTGGCTGGCTTCTGGCTTTTGAGCCTTCTACTGCAGTTGCCTTTAATCCTTTTCTTGCTCCTTAATGAAGGCCTGAGGAATCTGCCCTTGGAGAAAGCAATACACATCATCTTCACTGTCTTCCTGACTTTCCAAGTCGTCTCAGCATTCCTGACCCTGCAGAAAATGGTCAATCAGCTGGCAGCCCGTTTCCAGCTGCAGGACTTCGACCGGCTGTCAGCAAACAGTGCAGCTCTGAGGAGGAGGAGGCCATTTACAGAAGAGCTCTGATCCCATGCTGGAGAGTCCGCCTGAAAGATGACTCAAGACTGAGAGAATGACAGAGCAGCTGAGATCAGGCCTGAGAAAGGGCACACAGGTTCCGGCTTGTATCCTCCAGCCCTGAATCCTGTGGAGGCAATGCTAAGACACACTGTGGTCCATGAAGCTCAGGGGACGTCCAGCAGACACTAAATTTCTTGTTTCTGATGTTGACTTTTCAGGGGTTTATAAGTCTATTGCTAGTTGTAATCTACCACCTTTTCCATAATGTTCCTAGCTGTAATCTGACTAGAAGCATAGATTTTGGGAAAAATCAGTTTCTGGCCAATGGAATTTCACTGGGTATCTCAACACATTCTAGGACATGCCCCACAGCTGGGAGTAGTTGGAAAACACAAAACAAACTCAGTGATATTTTTGTGGACTTTTTGTTTCATTTTGCTTTTGTTTTGGCATTTTTGTCTTTATTATTAGGGGGCAGGAAGTTGTAAAGGAGTTGGGAAAGAGGAAAAATAACATGCAAAATACATGGTATGAAGAAAACATTTAACAAAAAAAAAAAGGAATATGTAACATCTTTAAGCTTTCAGTTATCCTACATCTCCTTTAAGCTTTCAGTTATCTAATTGGCCGTTCTGGGTTTCTTGGAACATATGGAAATGCTTGCTCATCAGCATGCTCATGCAATAGATGGTATTTCTAACAGGGACACATTTTGGGGTGTGCCAGTGCTCAATTCCAAGTCTCTTCTCAGTCTGTCCTGACGTAAGGGAGGTGGGTGTGCTCTGGTATTTACAGTTTATCCTGAGGTGAAGGAGGCAGGCATATTTTGACATAAAACCAGCTTCAGTATTTGTAGTATTTGTGATGAAGGCATCTAACTGCTTTTAACCATAAACCATAAGCTATTTATATTAAATATCAGCAGTGCATACTTGTGTAGTTCTTTTCAACTATGAAGTCTGTGGGATTTTTTTTTTTAACTGTCACTTTTTCTTTTTTGTTGTTTTGTTTAGTTAGTTAGTTTGTTTCAAGACAGGGTTTCTCTGTGTAGCCCTGGCTGTCCTAGAACTTGACCTGTAAACCAGGCTGGCCTCAAACTCAGAAATCTGCCTACCTCTGCCTCCCAAGTACTAGGCATGTGTGTGCATGTGTGCATGTGTGTGAGATATGTGTATGGGTGTGTGTATATGTGTGTGTGTGTGATATGTATGGGTATGTTTTGCCTGCATATATATGTGTACGTGCACTATGTGCATACCTGGTGCCCATAGAGACCAGAAGGGATGTCAGTTCCCCCGGGATTAGAGTTATAAAAGGTTGTGAGCTACCATGTGAGTGCTATGAATCAAATTGGGTTCTCTGAAAAAAAAAAATAGGCACTGTTCTTCTTTTTAATTTTTTAAACATTCAAATAATTTCTTTTTTAATTATTTTTTAATTAATTTATCTTACATTCCAATTCCAGGTCCCCCTCCCTCCTCTCCTCCTGCTCACCACATTCCTCCCTCATATATTGTCCCAGTCACATCATTGTCACCTATACTAAGGGAGTCTAGTTCCGTCTTATGCAGATCCCCATTTGTCCGACCTGAGTCAGTGATCTCCCACTAGCTCAGGTCAGCTGATTCTGTGGGTTTCCCCATCATGGTCTTGACTCCTTTGTTCATATTATCCTCCTCCCTCACTTTGATTGTACTCCAGGAGCTTGGTCCATTGGTTAGTTGTGGATCTACTTCCATCTGTTTGATCCATGCTCATGGGATATCCTTCATTTCCCTTATTAATTCTTCCATTGCTTACTTTAAAAAAAAAAAAATGCCTGAACTTGCCATTTCTGATTTTGCCTGACACACTTTCTCAAATACAACAGTTTATGGATAAGATGGGTTCTCAGGCTTCAAGGGTGTGACCTGGGAGGTAAAGCATTTGCACAACAACCTACAGACAAAGTGGGTGTAACTTTACCAGGGGGCTGCATCGAACCTCACAGATAAGTCCTTGACTGGCAATGACATCTCTCCTGTGGGCCAAGCACTTAGCACCCTCACCAGCCTACTTTAGCATTCACCCTGATCCACACATCAGGGAGGAGTTAATAGGGACATTAGAGGTGATGCACACTCCCCTAGCCTGTAGGACAGAAGCTTACTCTCTGTCTGGAAGGACTAACAAGCAAATTGGGGCTCTTACAATGTGTGGTTGGCACCATGGTTTACAGGGGAGCAATATCTCAAAGAGCAGGAATCTGGAAAGCTCTGCAGAACAAGATGACTTGTCACATTTGAAGAATGAGGGGATACTATGTTCAGCATTAAGAAATGGGTTAATAGGGCTGGAGAGATGGCTTAGCACTTAAGAGCATTGGCTGGTCTTCCAGAGGACCCAGGTTTAATTCTCAGTGCACACATGGCAGCTCACACCCATCATAACTCCAGTTCCAGGGAATCTGGCAACCTCATACATACATACATGCAGGCAAAACACAAATGCACATAAAAATAAAAATAAATTTGTATGTATGTATGTATGTATGTATGTATAAGAAATAGGTTAATAATGACATTGTTTCATAACTTCAAGGAAGTAGCATTGAAATAGGCATTTAGAAGCTGCTTTTTCTAAAAAGACCCTTGTAGTGAGGTAGTCCTTCTGTAGCACTGACCACGCCCATTGGGGGGTGGAGCTATGGGCGGAGGTGACCTGAGGAAGGAGGTCGGAGGGGGCCAGGAAGGCGCTCTTTTTCTGGCGTGACTCGGACAGGAGAGGATCGGGTTGAATTTCCTGGTGTTCATCTGTCTAGGTTGTAAGTTATTTCTCACTGAATAAACATCTATTCAGCCTATTTGTTTATCCTGATCCTTATTTACCGCAATATCTGGTGTCAGAAGCGGGATTTACCTGGGTTTTGCCCCCAGGCGGCAGAAGCCGCCCCCCCCCCCCCACCTTCCCCAACGGGCAGGGTTTAACCAGGTGGACTCACCACAGCTTTGGGACATTTGCCTCTTCCTTACTGCAAAGGAGATCTTTGCCACTAAAGCAGACCTGAGAAGGCACTTACCGCTTAACATTTTTTGCCCATTTCCGCACGGGACTTTGCATTCGCGCAGAGCCTCTCGGCGGCACCCGCCCGGCGGCACCCACCCGGCGGCACCCGGCGGCACCCGCCCGGCTTGCACGCGTTTCGTCTTGTGTTACAAGTAACTCCAAAAGTCCCCTTTTAACAAAATTCTGCTTGCCATAGTTTGTTAAGAACTTTTTACAGGAACCGGGATCAGACGAGCCTGGGCGGCTAGGCGCTATTTGATGACACACCTCCAGGCGTAGCTACCACAAGCGGAGATATACAACTAAAAGCATCAAAGTTCCAGGACAGCAGAATTACACCTAAGGTAATTGTAACATCCTTTGCAATTTAAGCTGATATAAAATCTGAGATAAATTGTTCTATAACTATGGCAGATAATTTTACTATGCAGAACTTTAGGAATTATTTTACTTCATATGTAGAAGGGATTTTAGCAGAAGAAACTTATGACTGGACCAATATATACTTTTATTTTGTAATAGCAATGGGTTTCATCATTAACATGATATTCTTAAAGAAATGGTTTGAGATTACAGCAAACAATAAGGAACTTGTACAAACCATGGGAGACTTAGTAACAAAGATTCGAAACATTGAAAATGATAGAATTCAAAGCATAGAGACAAGGATTCAAAACATTGAAAATGATGGAATTCAAAACATAGAGACAAAGATTCGAAACATTGAAAATGATAGAATTCAAAGCATAGAGACAAGGATTCAAAACATTGAAAATGATGGAATTCAAAACATAGAGACAAAGATTCGAAACATTGAAAATGATAGAATTCAAAGCATAGAGACAAGGATTCAAAACATTGAAAATGATGGAATTCAAAGCATAGAGACAAAGATTCGAAACATTGAAAATGATAGAATTCAAAGCATAGAGACAAGGATTCAAAACATTGAAAATGATGGAATCCAAAACATAGAGACAAAGATTCAAAACATTGAAAATGATAGAATTCAAAGCATAGAAAATATAGAAAGAAAGATTCAGAATATTGAAGATGGCGTTGGCGAGCTGAAAGGTATAATTTGTTTAATGTCAGATACTTCAATAACCAGAACAGAAACAATGCAATGCATTAACAAACTAGCAGAAACAGCCCACTCCTGGTCGGAGGAAGCTACTAATAAGTTTAAAAAACTGGAACATCAGATAGAAAGACTAGATGACAGAATCTCTTCCATGTCTGAGGATAATGGCAAGCTAGCAGATAGAACATTGTTTCTGGAAGGCAGTTTACACGCCATTCAGATAATATCTAAGGATGATAAGATTAAAAACATGGAATCATTTGTAGTTGGAGAAAGTAAGAAACTGACTGATACAATGAAGTCTCTAGAAAGTTATTTGATTCAAGAAGTTCAGACACTCAAAGAAACAATGGTGAATAGATTTCAGGCTTTAGAAGACCTTCAGTCTGATACATCAGAAGAAGAACTACAGGTAACAGGGCATGAAAAAGATTTAAAATTTTCCACACCATTTAGGGTCAGGGGAGCTTTCCCTGTATCTATTCATGAAAAGCCAGCAACGAAGAAACATCCAAAAGGTGTCGTTGCATATCAGTGGGAACCAATACGTATGAAAGATTTAAAAGGTATAAAGGAAGCAGTAGTCTCTTATGGCATGCATTCACCTTATGTGAAGCAATTAGTAGAATCATGGGCATGGAATAACAAGGTAACCCCTAAGGATTGGGATCAATTAATATCAGCTGTCCTTGAAAGCGCCTCTCAAATAGAATGGAGGGCTTTATGGAGAGAGGAAGCAAAAGCTCTTGAACTTCAGGGCTTAAAGAAAGGGTATAAAGCTCCCCAAGATAAAATTCTTGGTGAGGGTCTCTATGCTGACCCAGAAACCCAAGCTGCCTATGATGAACACATCTTGTCTCTATGCAGTACAGCAGCTTTGAATGCTTGGGATAAGGTTCATGAATTAGGAGAGAGGATAGAACCCTATACCAAGATAAAGCAAGGACCTAGAGAACGTTTTAGTATCTTTCTAGAAAGATTATCTAGGGCAGTACAATTAGAGATAGCAGACATAGATGCTAGGCGAATACTCATAGAATCTTTAGCTTATACGAATGCGAATCCTCAATGCAAACAGGTGCTTTGGCCTTTAAAAATGCGATCAGCACCCTTGGATGAATGGGTCCTATATACAGGCAACATTTGAGTATAATGACAATAAGACTGAAGCATGGATAGGAGAAGCCATATCTAAAGGTCAGAGAAGATATCAAGATAACAGAGTTCCTTACTATGGTGACTTAGAAGCTTGGGTAGGAGAAGCCATCCCCAAAGGTTTGAAAAGATATCATAATGTCAGATGTTATAACTGTGGTAAGATAGGACATCTAAAAAGAAATTGTAGGCAAAGCTTCCCTAGAAGTAACACCCCCAGGAATGAATCAAACAGAAGGCCTCAGCCTCCTGGGTTATGTAGAAGGTGTGGCAAAGGCAGACACTGGACAAATGAGTGTAGATCGACCAGAGACAAGCAAGGAAACCCTTTACCATCGGGAAACTCCTTGGGGGCCTCTCGAAGGCCCCCACGTCACAGGTGGTTCGAACATTCCCAGTCACAGTGGAAGACAATCTCCCACAGGACAATTAGAAAATTCTGTGCCTATTATAAAAACTCATACTGCTCTGGATGACGAACTAGTGACGGAAGTTGAATCAAACATGACAGAAGGAAATGAAAAACGTATATTTTGGCAAACTGCTATAAATAGTCATAGGCCTAGATTGATAGTTAAGATGAATAATAGACTGTTTGAGGGTCTGGTGGACACAGGAGCTGATGTAACTATCATATCTAATAAATC